CGCTCGGCTCCGAGCCGGGGGGGTGGTGTCCCTCTCTCCCCGCTCCCCGCGGCGCCCTGAGCCCGCCCGCCCCGGGGCCGGGAAGGGTGGGTATGGTTTTCGCCGAGGATTTACCCCGACGGAAAATGGCAAGGGAAATAAAAGGACTTTGCCGCCGTTGAAGCCTGAAGGCTTTGACCTCAGTTATTTGACCGCTTCCCCCAGTGGAAAATGTTGCTGGAATCTGCTGTACTTTGTAGTTGCCGTGATGTTGTGTGAGTTAGATCCCCATGTCCATGCTGCCCGACTGAAACCGAGTCGTCCTTTAAATTTCTTACATAACTCCTCTAACACTGTAAACAAACTCTGCAGCACAGCAGCTCTCCAAGACTACTACTTCACAATGTAAATATTGTTCCTAAAATACAGTGGAATGCGAACATAGAAAGCAGAGTATATTTGTTGGCTTACCGTACCTGCAGGCCTATGTGTGCATGGGAATTGGATTTCACTCATTTCATGGCGCTGACTTGAGTGCAGAGTACCTGATTAGAAAGAAAAAGAGGTGGGGTGAGTTTGGTAAGCCATGAGAAAAACTTTCCAAAACATCTGGGGAAAACTCTCAGCGCACTCTAATGACTGCTTCATGTAGTCTTTAATGTGGCGCAGATGTACAGTTACTGTAAATAATGGAGGAGCTGCACATTATAGTCAAGTTAAGGTCGATTTGCGTGTTCCTGTCAAAGCCCCGTCTGTAAAGTCCTTGCCCGTGAAAGTTGCTTGCAGGTATGTGTCTGAGCCATATGGACATGGCTGGCGACTTCCTATCTGAATGATATGGAATGATGCCTCCTGAATCCTGAATGTGATGCCACATTTTTAATCAGTGACTTTCAATGCTGATAGACAAGTCTTTTAAGGAGGAGGGGGGAAATAAAAAACCCAAACGTTTTTGCTTGTGATTTGCTTTTCTAACTAAAGTCCCCCTTAAACCAGAAGTTTCTGTGAGAGGATGCTGTTGATTGTACAATCTGATGGTTAACTTGGGCGCCTTAACTGCAGAAGTACCCTTTCAAACACTTAACTGCTACTGCTGTTGTTGCTTTGGTTATCATCTTTTCAAAGGAATTATTTTACTATGTTGGTATGAATAGTTGTGCGAAATATAATGAAGCTGTTATTGTATTTATAGTGTTTCTAGAGGTTTTGGTAATTCAGATTTTATTAGCAATTACAAACAGTTTCAATAAACTTTTAATGAAATGTTTATCCTTTTATAAAACAGCCTGTGAAAAAATCTCATTTCTTAAAACCAGTTATTTGAACACCATTCTCAGTCTAAAGGTGTAAAGCCTGGCTTTTTTTAGAATTTTTGAAATTTCTGTCTGAAAGTGAATTAATGTACTTTCTCAGCTTTTCCTGCTTCACATCAGCTAATGTTACGTTGTGTACCTGATGGATAGACACCACAATTTGTAAGCTTTAATGATCCAGGCTCTTTTCCCTCTTTCTCCTAAGAACCACTGAAGTTGGAAAAGAAGGCTCTATAATCCCATCTCCTGACGATTTGACGTGGTTAGTTCTGGCACTGTGACCTTATTTTCAGCAACTGGCTTGTGTTGTTAAAGCTGTTATTAAATAAACTTGCCATTCTCACGTTGTTGGTATCTTTTACGTCCCACGTGATCCATTTGAAGAAAAGGATTAATCTGCTCCTCCTCCATAAGATTCTACCTGATGCAGTCTTTTATGAGATTGAACTAAATAAAATCCCATAAACCTTTGAGAATTAGGGGTTCGCAGATTGACTTAAGCTGGTACCCACTTTTACAAAAATAGTTGCATGACAGGCATTAAGTAATGAATGAAAGTATTCTTTTCCAAATGAAAAAGTAGAAAAATATTATAAGGAACAACCCAGAAAATACTATGAGAAAATGTAACTGCCATTTTTTATTTCCTCTAACAGTTCTGCACAGTTTCACCATTGAGTTTCAACACCACCAAGTTTTCCCAGAGCCTGCAGAACAGACTGATGTACCCTGGCAGTATTGAGCACACATGTATGTGGCTAATCTTGTTGCACTAGGACATGACCCACTGCTGCGTCTATTTTATGTGCACGCTTTCTCCTGACATTGGCCCATAGTTTTCTCTGTCTGATCATAAATAGTTTTTACAGTATTTTCCAGTGAGTCAGTATAAAAGGTTTGTTGCATGTGCCAAGTTTGACTTCAAAAGGATGTTAATATGGCTGAATTATAAAAGCTGCACGTGACCCAGCACATGAATTGGTAGAATGTAAGAGGACATGTCTGCCAGAGGTGTTTGGGTGGGCACTGCAGTTGGGTATGAATTAATCATTTTACAGCTGCCTCTGAACCTTTCCAGTAACCCCTGTGACCTTCTAGCTGTTTTCATGGAAGCCTGTTTGCTCTTTCCTTATCCTGTCAGATTTTCCTTCCCACTTGTTAGAAATTTTAGAGAAAGTTTGGAGTGTCCCTTTAACCTCATCTTTGATCATTTGCTTTTGTGGATGTTTTTCCTCTCCAAGCAATTCAAAGTGCCTCATGGACTTGAAACAGTTCAGACTTCTTCATGGATACTTTTAGTTTCCATTCCAGCAGTGACTTGCCTTTCTAGATCCTGTTCTGTTTGTCCCAATATATGCAGTAGCCTGACTCACTCTCCAGATGTGAACATTGGCAGGCTCCTCTCTATTTCACCGGCTTCATTTGACTTTCTCAGAATAAGATTATTGTGCCTTCAAAGCACCCAGATACCAAGTTGACCTCTGTATAGTTTACTTTTGCGCTAGAAATGAAATCTTAGTTCTGGGTTCTGACTGGCAACGACAGGATTCAGTTTCTGGTGTGCATTGATACGTCTGAGTTTTGCATGTTTACTGAAACTTTCTCCAAGAAAAAGTAGTCTCCGTAACTGTAAATTTTAAAGGTTTGGTTACTTCTCCTGTCTCCTTCCCAAGAAATGTTCCTCTGACAGGCTGTTAGACTGTAACTGGAACAGGGAAGCCAGCGGTGCCGTGTTGCAGGTTAGAGGACCAGATAGTTTCTCCTTTTTGGCTAATGAGATTGGCAGGAGGCCGTATAGGTCTTTGTCCTCAATCCTTGAAAGGAGTCAGAGCTGCTGGGAGTTCTGGTCTGCTGTTGGTTTCCACCTAGATATAGTTAAACAAAACTGAAGAGATGAAATGGGCTTGTGTTTATGCTCCAGAAATCATTGTGCATTTTAGGAAACTCCTTATAATTACTGCAATGTCCAGTTATGCCTAGACATTTGTTATTATGGTAATAGGGAAAGGCTGGAACTTTCTATTGTTCCAGCTCCACTTTTGGAGCCATTAGTTGGGTTTTTTTTAAAAAAAAAAGTATTTAATTTTCCGAACAAGCTAATTCTTATTTACAGTTACCTCAGCAGAATGAATGAGATTACTTGCCATTTCAGACTTTTTCCAGATATTTGTATGTTAAAATTTTGCTGTTTGCATCTCAGGTATGGTCTCATGTAAAGCCTCTTCAAAAAATTATGGTACTTTAAAATGAGCCATCAGGTGCACCACCCAAAATGAGAACCTAAATGTAGGAGGCTTGGAGTTGAGTGAGCAGGCAGTAGAAGTGTAGAGCAGAGAAATTAGTGAGCAGAGGTTCTGTGGTAATTTCTTTATTTTGTTTCTTCTTTTTTTAATAAAGTTGAATTACCAGTTTTGATTTTTATAGGTAACCTGCAGTCTGTACATATTGCAGTAAGGGAAGTTTGTCATCATTTCTGGATTGTTTATGTATGCATGTGTTCCAGCTGTGGCAAGATTTTTCATTTAATATATCCCAGAGTTTTACTGATGGATGGAATGAGTGATTACCATCATAAAGCAACCAGTGCTACCTTTTAAAACTGTCCTATAAGTGTGGGAGAAAAGATGGCCAAACATTAAAAAAAAAATTCCTGTGAGAAAAGTAGGATCTGAGATTGTGTTAATTGATTTTACTGTACATTAGATTTAGATTTCAGTTTTGTGGGTTTGGCTTTTGACTAAGGTCTTACATCATGCGGTTCTCTTGCATTCTTTCATACTTGTGAATATTAAGCCTTCAGGAAGGGAAGCTCTTCTGGATCTGAGTATTTTTGCTTGGTGCAGGCAGACAGTAATGGAACACTCCTTTATGCGTTTCACAGTGTATTATTAATTTCTTTCTTTTACTGTGAAATCCGTTCTCCTGGTTGATTACATTTGCAAGTAACTATCTGGTCCAAGATTTTATCTCTGAAAATCTTGTTTTGGTGAGGATAAATATAGAAAGTCTGATCTATGTTTGTTTATATCTAAGATTAACCTATTTCTTGTACGTTTTCAGTGGGTTTACTTTGACTTCTTATCTCAAAGGTCTTTCCACTGGCTGTAGCACTAAGCTGAAAAAAAATTGTTGTGAATTCAAACTTTTTAAGGGGAGGAACTGCAGAATTCTGATTAGAGAGGACTGGAGAGAGCAGGGGAAAACGGGTACAGTTGGTGACTCCAAAAGAACTTTTGTAAATATGATGCTTAATTCTCCAAACTGGGCCAGATGCTCAAGTTGAAAAATTCAAAAGAACAAAAGCTCTTTCCTGGGAAGAGTTAAATTTAATTATTGGTGGCTGGAGAAGCTTTGAGGCAGTGCTAAAATCCTGGGTGCCTTTGCAGAGTGGTTTCTGGCCTGAGGCAGAAAGTGAAGACTTAGCCACCTGCTTCTTTCCTGGGGGAAGAAATGGAGGACTTGCCAGCTACAGACCTGGGTTGAAGACCTACTTTGTAGCCAGCTGGCTAGCAGACTGCTGTTCTGGGGCCTCCAGAACCATAGCAGGAGGCATAGCTGCTGTAGTGCTGCGTGAGGAAGGCGATCGTGAAGATCAGTCGTCAGTTTTATCTGTGTGTTGGTCTGAACACGATCTTCAGTTTGTCCAAAAGATTTCCTGCAGGGGGGAATATACTGTACAAATAATATTTAAATAACAGTAGTGGCAAAAAGGGGAGGGCGTTCTTTATCTTTCTCGGGAAACCACATCAGATGTCCAGATTCTGTGGCAGAAGTGATTCTTGCAAAAACAATAATCTCTTGCAAGTTGCCTACTTGAAAGCTTTTTGGGATGGAGTACTAAGCCATAAAAGAAAAAGGCTACTCAAAGTAACAGGAAAGCATAAAGCTAATAAAATGGGATGAAAAAGGGCTATGTATTTGTGGCAGCCATTCAAAGTAGATGTGGTTTGAAGAGTGTATTGGGCTGTTTGGAGTATTTTTTCATGTTAGGAATACTTCAGATAATTGGCTGGCACTCAAAGAGCAAACTGTTAATACTTTCAGATTTTGTTTGGGATTTTTTTAGTGAATTTAGATTGCTTAAAAACTTCTGGGTAAGGAACACTTAGGATTTTTTTTTTTTTTATTAAATACTATCTTAGATTCTTGTTTTCTCACCTCACAGTAACAGAATTAATGTATGCAAGTAAAAACTTTTGCAGGAAATTATCCCAATCATGTGGAGAAGGTATTTTCTATTAGTGGATTATAAATCTTTAAGTAGTCTTTAACAAAAGCAGCTGTCCTCTTTCAGACTTAAGAGTTTGTGAATAAATAGAGTAAAAGATGTGAGAAAGCGAGTATTATAAAGATGCTGAAAATATTTAAATTGTATTTGAATTAGGTTACACAAATGAAAGTTTACTCTTAAGCAATATTATGCATTGTGTTTGTATAAAGAAAACATCTTGCATGATAATTAAAAAATACTGTAAGTTGGGTATTTGTTCTGTGAGTGAAACACACTCCTGCAGTACAACCATTTCGAGTTAGAGCTCTATTTCTGCCAAAGGGAGTGTGAAACGTCTGTGATTTCTTCCCTGGGAGGTACAGTAATACTTTTGGCATCTGTTCCTTAAGGATCTGCAGGCTGGAAGTGAGTGCAGCAAAACTGTCCCCTTCGGTGGGCCTCCTTTTTTTTTTTTTTTTTTTTTTTTTTCCCTTTCCTTAAAACAGCGTGGCGA